TTCTATCTGAGGTTTAATACYATGCAAATCCATAGCATGCCTAAGCCTAAAAGTCTCTTTGCAGTTCTGATTCCTGCTATTTCAGAACAGACAGAAAATTGAGTCTCAGAGAAGTGTATGTAATCTGGAGAGGGTAAATAGGTAATGACTTATCACTTTGCCTTATGGTACAATGATGAGAGAAACCCGGTGTGAGGCTGGTCAAAACAAAGGGAAGTGCACCCTTTCAAAGCACACCTGAGCTGTGGCACTCCTTGGCCTAAGATGCTGTAGATTCATCAGCGAGGGAAGAAATTTTGGAATCATAGATCTATGGAGGACTGCATAAACATCCTGAGATCCCGCATTGCTGGTTGTCTGTATGTCACGGATCGCTGAAGGGCAGCTTTATGTTTTCCTTGCTCAACTCTTCCTTAAGAACGTCATAYGGGTGACCATCAGAGACAGATTAATCAGGCTACATGGACCAYTGCCCTATTCCATCACTGACCCTAAAGAATTTGAGTGCTCTGGGTAGAGGGACTGTCTGAATATTGTTTGGCAAAGGTGGGTGGATTTCAGGCAGAGTTCTGAGGGAACATTATTTGGTTGGCACAATGAAGGGCAAAATAATTGTGCCTTTTCCTTACTCTTCACTTTTTTTTAGCTTTTTGCTTTTCCTCATTTGCTTGCTTTTGATCTCTGCTTCTTTTTAAATTATTTTTGATTTTGTACCAAACAATCCTCCATGCCTAAAGTAAAATAGGGCTAAAAAAGTAAGCACCCACACTGAATATACTCTGTGAAGCATTTCCAGCTTAATTCTTTATTCTTCTTTGGCTCTCTACTGAGGAGCTGAGCTTAGCTCAATCTGTGTTCTCCCAGCTATCAGACAAGATCAGGAGATGTCACAGGGCGAGATTTGTAGGGAATTTGGAGTCTTGTTTAATGTTGCTCTCTGTTATTACTGTCTACAGAAGAACWTGGAGTTTGTTGTTCGCTTTTTCATCAGTTGTTTAGAGATTGGGTTAAAAAGTGGCCCCAGAGCAACTGCACTGCGTGAGCWCCTGGTCCAGCACTGGGGGCTGGCATGCCAGTGGGATGCTGCTGGAGTCAGCCCTGTTTGTGCTGGATCTGTTGTTTGTGCTTTCGTTGTGTTTTCAGCATTAAGATAACAATAACAAACATTTTGAGAGATAAAAGTTTTTCTGTTTGGATCCACACACTAGTTCAAGGCTCTTCATTTTTTCCAAGATGAAGCTTTTCTAATCAGGTCATCTTGAATTGAACTAACATAAACAAGTGGGGCATCGACAGATTTTCAGAAGTGCTGTACTGCTTCCTTTTAAGTGGGTGGAATGGAAGTTGTCCCATGACAAGTTCGATTCAAAATCCAGTATTTCTTGTTATGCTCTCACTAATCTGTTTAGAAAGTGCTTCAAGTGATGTATACATAGCACAACATTTTCCCCCTTCTCTATTTTAAAATCAAAAGGACTTTGATAAAAGTCAGGGAATGTGTTTGAAATGACACATGAGATGTTAATTTGGACTCTACTCGCCTGCCTTGGCATTGGAATAACAATTCACTGGCAAGTTAAAACATTTCTTTTTAGCTCCTGATGACCCAAACTAGTTTGAGCCCCAAGCAATCAGTTTTTCTTCATTTATCCTTCTGTCCTTGAGGACATTGCTACTGGTTTTATAACAAGCAGGGTCTGGTATCAACAAACCCAGCTGTACACATGCTGAGTGATTGCTGTGACACAAAAAATTAGATTTTCCACAAGCTTTAGTCAAATGCATTTTCATTTATAAAGTTACCAGAAAAAAAAAAAACCCTCAAAAAATCAGTAAGACTCATTCTTCATCCCTTTAAGTTACAAGGAAGGGAGTTATAAGAAAAAGAAGAAAATAAATATCAAGAGAAGATGAATGTTTGTTAGGTAATTCATTTCTGAGAAACCAAATGTACCCTTAAGGATAGTTTAATCAGATAYAGTTAGACACTCAATTCCTAGGTCCTGGGACTGTTAAGGGATTCTCAGATCTCTATATCTAATTTTAATATCTGAAAAACTGTGGCTTTTTTCCCCATGGGATCTGTAGATTTTATCTGTAACAGCTTCCACAGATAATCACACTGTGTAACTTTCTATCAAACAGAAGGACTGTCATTGATTTTTTTTTAATATAACATTAATGCCATTGGTAGATACAAATGAAACCAGAGTCCTGTTGTGCCAACCACTGAGTAAATACACAGAGTTATAAACTATTCTGTGGTTTCCTTAGGTATGGTATTTGTAGTTGACAAAATAATATCAGCAGAACCAGTATTGTTTTGCTCTTAAATAGATAGAAACCTCCAGTACCCTTGATGTTGCATAGTTAGGCAACATAGGATATGTTAGTTATCTGTATTTTTGGATGAGGGATCTGATTTTGAAAACTGAAAGGAAAGCTATAATTTAAAATGAGAATCCTYAATTTTGGCTTTCTTTCATGATCTCACCTAACAAATCCAAAGAGTATTTTGGCACACTCTGAGTTCTTTCCTGCTGATTTTTCAGTTGTATTTGCTATACAGAATATGCATTTGAATTTTGTTTTGTGCTTTTATTCACAGGGAGTTCCAACCAGAATGTAATTGATTCAGGTTCAAAGGATGCTTTTTCATRCTGTGTCACTTTTAAGACTTGCAGTATACTGCAAGATGCCACTAAATACAGTGGGAACTTTGAGCTTTATTTATTTATGCTATCTATTAGCTTTTCTCTAATTGCAAATCCCACTGGTGTGCAAGAAAATTATAAGCACTTCATTTCCTTAAAAGGCCCTTCGTTATATCAACTCAGACATCGAATAACCCATTCTTGCTCCTGCTAAAGTCATAAAAAGAAATCTTTGCCAAGGATTTGCTGTTGGCCAAAACTTCAAAATGCTTACAGGTGTTCTTACCACATCTAGTGAGGAAGAACAATCCTATTGATTCAGGCAAGTGGGAGGCTCTGCCTGACAATCTGCTGTAAAGAATATCGAGGGCATTCCTGATGGCAGCTCCATGTCTGCTGACCCTGGGAATGTCAGCCATTAAATATTATGTAGAAGTGTTTGGAAATTCCTTTCCCCAAATGTCGTGAAATAAAATTATAAACCAGCAATAGTCGATCCATTCTCATTGCTTTTGATCACAGCAGCAGAATGATGGTGACTATGACCATAAAAAATTTTTCCAGTTTATACAATTTTCAATTTTTTTCCTCAAATAATAGAACATCTCTCCAGTCCCCTCTCAAAAAAAAAAAAAAAAAAAAAAAAAAAAAAAAAAAAAAAAAAAAAAAAAAAAAAAAAAAAAAAAAAAGAAGTACCAATGTGAACAGGTTGGAAAACTTTAGACAAAAACTGAGTTCCTTTACTGAGTGACCTGAACAAGTAAAAGAGCAATAAAATCGATTATCCCATATGTCTGTTGGAATTGATCTGGGCCTATTTCCTCCAAAGAGGTCAGAGGGGCATGGTGAAAGCAGCAAGATCACGAGAGATGGAAAACCACAGTTCACACCTTTTCCAGAGTATGGAAAGCAGGAGGACCTGAGGGTGTCACCACTCAAACATAAGAAACAGCCTAGGGAGAACAGTYTTCACTAATCTTTTCACAGAGCTTCTTGCTTGCTTCCATGTGCAGCTGCTATGACATTGCATTTGCTTTTGACTCATGGAGAAATTACTATATAAATCTCCCCCACAACCTGGTGCTAATGAGTATGTGTCAANTTTTTTTTTTTTTTTTGCTATGATTTATCATGCTATAACCAGAAACTGTCTATTTGTCTACAAAGTTGAGTGACTGCTTCCTATTCTCCCATGCATGCACACTTTGGAATGAATGTGTCTCTTCCTTTGTGGTAGTTATCCACTTTTACTCAAAATGAACAGCTTTGGGGAGACTTCCCCTTAGAAAAGTCCTTCACTTTTGAAWAAGTTTTTATCTTCTGGTCCAACKTGMWGTGTTTTTGGGATGTAATACAWAGCCTACTTTTGTGAAARGTCAAGTATGTYGGCAGGCATGGAGGTTTTGGGKTTGGATGAATGTTATTTTTTCYCCTTTTTTTTCTCCTGAGATAATTCAAGTAATTTCTTCCATTTTTTGACTGAGTCTTATTATCAGTGCCTTCATTTGAATAGTACAAGGAAGTGATTATTACAAAAAAAGACAGCATTATGCATGTAGCACCTGTGTTTTGCTCCTTTCCTCACTCCTGTCTTTTTAATGATAATCTCTACCCCAGCTGATAAACCCGATTGAAAACTGACATTTGAATGCACATTATTTCAGTAACAGTTTTGCCGTGCTACAACTATTTTTAAAGGTTTAGCCTTTAAATTCTTTGTAAACATATGGCTGATGGAAGGACAAACAGTGAACAGCCTTATTTTGTTTACATGGCAGCATCAGTGCACACACCAACCCCACTGAAAGCTCTCAGCTTCTGTTCTGGATTGAGAATGTCCACGAGACAAGAGAAGCACTTCAGGGTGTGTAGACATTAGCCCTTGGTCTCCTTTTGGTGTCTYCTGGTAATATTTAAAGCATGACAGTGGACTTAGAAGGCTAACAGGGGTTTTGGTGTCCTTCCTCTCAATTTGAGTCTTTAATGAACCCCCAAGTCTTAAATAGTAAAAACCCTTAGCAATCAAATTGGAGCTGGACCTAAATGCAAAAAAGKGGCTTTTTGCCTTCAATAGCATGTCTGCACATCCCTCCTCCTGCTTGAGTGATCTGCAATGAGGCTTATATAGGAAACTTCAGGTTTCAAAAATCAAATTCTGGCTTCCTAGAGCCGACTCCGGGCTCTAGGCTCCCATCTGAAACAAAATCTCTTACAAGTTTTCAGTGTGTCCAACCAAATAATTATTATGCAATACTTTTAATAAAGCAGTTTTAATTATGCAAAACATAAAGGAAAAATTTAAAATATTTTGAACATTATATTTCTGATTTAAATAATTTCGATAACTACAATGTTTTCAGGCTATGGAAAGGAATAAGAAGGTTACAGATTTAATAACTGAACTTACGCTGTACAGAATGCTAATTGTTGCTAAGAGCAATAAGTCAAGCACTCAAATATTAGGTAATAATRGAGGGTGATATGGCCCTGGCTAGACACTGAGTACCCACCAAAGCCACTCTGTCACTCCCCTCCTCAGGTGGGCAGGGGAAAAAGAGTATGAGTGAAGATTATATGGGCTGAGATAAGGCTCATGGGTCGAGATAAGGACAGGGAGAGATCACTCACTCGTTATCATCATAGGCAAAACACAGGTAACACAACTTTGGGAAATTAACTGAACTTATTATTTATTACTTATTTTTACCAAGAAAAACAAGAGTAGGATGATCAGAAGTAAAATAAATCCTAAAAACACCCACCACTCCCTCCTTCCTGGGCTTAAATTTATTTCCAATTTTAAACCTCAGCAAGTGATCCTATTTCCATTTTCCTGTAGAGCTACTGCTTCCAACTTTTGCTTATTTTGCTTTTTAAGGAATATAACCTTGCTTATACGCTGAACTGACAATGTCACAATGCAGGCTAATATATATATATTTATATATTTTTATATATTTATATATATTTATACATATATATTGGAATGAGAAAAACATTTCTCAGTAGAAAATAGCTGCGAACTTTCAAATGGACTGCCTGCAATAAATGGATGCACTTTGCCAGCAAAGCTCAATTATGTTTGGGAAATGGTGGGATCTCTGGTTTGGGGATCACTTTGGGACAGAGGACTTAATGAARGCTAAAATTTTGACAGCAGAGAGTTCAGCTCAACACAGATTTTTGACAGATTTTTGGTACTGCTATAGGCAACATTTGAAACACATTAAAAAAAATGACACTTGCTAAATTCACAAGTGAAAACCAAATTGCACTGAAACTATGCAGAACTGTGGGCTGGGCTTTCTTTCAAGTTGAGAAAGACATAGGTATCTCTTTATACACTCATTGCTCTAGTCTGACCTAAGTTAAACCAAAAACAAAACAGAAGACCAGACTGTGAGGAAGGTGCTGAGTAAAATCATCAAAGTAACCAAATTCAKTAGGGTTTGCAGAGTGTGTGTGTGGGTTACATATTTTTATTTCTCAGTAACAAGCACTCACTGGCTTTAGTTTATTTTCTCTTTTGTCTTTGTCTACTCCTGCTTCTATAGCCATTTTCAAGTTGTTAAGTGTTTTGCTTTTTGACAATTCCAGATTACAAAAACTGGCTTCCAAAGCTGCCTAACAGGCAACTGAATACAGTGTAGGAGTAGCTGAGGAAAATGTCACTTGAACTGGACTTGTAACTTTTATCCCTGCTATCAAATGATCTGATAGGCAGTGCATGGCTGGAAAAATAGAAAAATGCTTACAATATGTCACGCATCTTGTTAAGCTGCTGACTCCTTTCGCACAAAAACCCTCTTGACAAGTACATCTGCCTTATTATGCTCACTGTCAGTCTAAGAGTGAAAAGGCAGAGAGCAAGTGAGATCTTGGTCACGTAAATGTGCTCTCTCTGCCTAACTAAAGGGGCAAATGAACTCTCATTAAAGACAGTTACTGATTAGTCTTATTCTTGTTAATTTCTATTKAATTTATGTGCATTTTTAGTGGATTTAAGATACCTCAAAACAAAATGAGAAGGTTCATACAGGGTTTTGCGCTAATTTAGATATACCACTTTTTAAAAGTTGTTTTAAAAGTCACTTTTAAAAGATGTTGGCCTACTTTGAGAATTTACTATTAAATTCTTGTGCACAGACAACTCCACAGAAATGTTGTCCAAGTTATGAGAACTCTACAGCTGGTTAAAATTACTTTTAGAAATTGTGATGGTCTAATTCTATGGAAGCAGAAGTTATACAAAGTATCCTCTCTACCCACACATCTCCCAAAAGGACAGACCAAAACTGAAATCTAGATGAACTCTATATCCTGCATTTTAGACCTTTTGGCAGTGATAAAGTCATACATATATATGCTCTATGTGCTTTCTATCTAAATTCCATTTGTTCTGCTGGGTGATGTAGTAATACAGAAATTCACTATTAATGATTAGGGACAAGCAGACAGAAAGCAGCAATTGCTAATATATACCCTGGCTTAGTTTGAAAAGGTGTCTTGGGGCTAATTTCCAAAAAAATGAAAATTTAAATTAGTCTATATAAGAAAGTTGTGTAAGGCAGCAGAATATATTACCACCCAAAGTAGAGGGGGAAAAGCAAATATTTTCATTTTATTATTAAAAATCTGTGAATCTTGATTCAAATTTAATAGCCCTTATGTCTTAAGTTTGTAACATTATATCATTTCAGTCTAAATTCTGACCTATGTAAGAAACCAGAGTTATTAATATTTCCTATTATTTGTACTCCTCAGACTTTATGACTGGATTTCTCCAAGGCATTCTTCATTCTCACTCCGATCTTCCTCTTCATTTTGAAAGTATCAGTTCAGGGAATTGGCTGAAAGATAGAAAAACACACACATAAAAATTGTTTGACTGACGTTATTCATTGTAAAATATTATTTTTTTCCTGGAGGAGATATGAAGGTGAATCAGGAAATGGATGGCATTTTCAGATCACATGAATCAGTACCCAAGAAGTCATCATTTTCACCAAATATATAACTATTTTTAGGGACTTAAAGTTAGATGAACCTTATTTAGAACTCATATAATAACTCCTTTAACTTCCTTATCCGTCAGAGACTCTAAGGAAAAGAAAGCAGCAATTAATGAAAATCAGCTCAAGACTTATAAATGTAAGTATGCATATATTTATATTCTAGGTGTGATAAAAATATCTTATGCATTCATAAAAATAAACCATTTTGTTTATAAAGAGTCTTAATAATGGAAACTCCATGAGACATATTACTTTATTATCTTTTGATCACAAATGGTAAATATAAACCCATCAGAAGGATTTATAGTTCTCAAAAGCCAAGTTTTAGACTYTCATCTAGCTTTTCCTGATTCATAGATATTATGAAGACCAGCCAGTTTAGCCTTTAACTACAGCACATAAAATGAGACAATAATTTAACAAGAAACAGCAAAGCTTGTAATTATTGATATTTATTTTCCTCTGACTTAAATCAAGTATTRCAATGGTGTCTTTTGCTAAGAAAATTCAAATTATGCTCAGTCTGACCTTGTGCTGTGTCTGCTACTGGGCACACATAGCTACAGCCTTTCCTGGCCTGTTGTTTAACAATGTACTTCCCTATCAGACCCATCTGAGGATGAGGATGGCAAAATTGAATCTTTCCTGGGATGAAGATGTCATTCCTATTTTTATGTAGAGCAACACTGCAAGTCCCTGGTATTTAAATATGGCAGACTTGCAATGAACCAGCTTTGGAAGATGAGGTTGCTCAATGCAGGCAGGAATGCTAAGGGCTCGCTTAACTCAAGTGCAGCAGGGAAAATACCTCCATGGAACTCAGTGGGAAAGAAGGAAGAAACAGCAATGTAGACCTGATGATTAGGTATTTCAACAGTGCCATGTAAGTAAGGTAACTTCAAGACACCAGRCTGCACAAACTCTCTGTTCTTTAGAATTAGCTCAGGAAAGGAATCTTGTTTGCATGCACTATTCTCCTGCCTGGTCTGCTCTGGAAAGGCTCTGGTGACCAGCAGGATTTCTCCTAAGTAATAAATGATGTGGTTAAAAAAACAAAAAGTAGGCAATTAACTGTGAGACTTCAAAGTTTTCCTCTGCCTGTTTCTCATGAATTAAACAAAAATGACTAATGTTTTCAATGGTCTGGAAAAAGCWACAGGCAGTGGTAATAAAGACTTTGAACTCAGAGATTGTGAAGCAAGCAAAGTCCTTTCCCTGTGATGGAAGCATAACTCAAGATTCAGTTTTACTCTTACTTTTCTATTTTTTTTTTATTTTTTAACACAATTTAAACTTTCAGTTTCCTGTGTCTGACTTTGTTTTTCTAAATGGTGTAAGAGATGCTTACTATCCAAGGTGCTTTTGATGGGCAATGTGAAGACAGGCTTTCCCTCACACCRTGACTTTCCCACCTAAACAGATGGAAATCCACCCCCTTCCCTATTTTCTAACACTCCTTATATCCTGCCACCACAGGAATGAGCTGAAATCTGGCTTCCCACCAAACTGGCCAACAGCCTGAAGGTGCTGTGCAGCCTTTCCTCTTCCAACTGCAGTATCTTTACTGCTTTCACATGCTGCCACCCCTYAATATGCTGGGCTCTATTTTGCTGGAAGGAGAGATCAAAAATTACTAACAGTGAGAAATATAATGCCAGGAAAATACAAGACAGAGGAGGAGAATGAGCTCTATACTGGAAGAAAAGCTGGATGGGATGGACTTGGTCTTCTGAGTGTTTTCTTTTTGTTTGCTTCCTTAAATCAGATAGCAGAGCTTCTCCTGCTGCTTTCTCTCTTGCTCTTAGCATAATATTCCTGGATTATGTTAGAATATCCTTATTTATTTTGGATATAATAACACACCAAGGCTTAGCCTAGGATTGAGACACCACTGTGCAACTTGTAAAGAAACAAAACCCCCTCAGCACCATCTTGCAAGGGTACATCTGGGGATTGCATCACCTAAAATTCCTGGGCTCACTCACTCAACTCATCTGGTTTAAYTCTGTAACTTAGACATAGCACAGTTACACATAACATTAAAAATGTTACATTTTGTACCTTCATTTCAAACATAGTTAATCTCATGGGCAGTTTCAGACATCTTTGCCCTTGAGTTTTTAAAATCAAATTAAATAAAATTAASCATTGACATCATTACTGTTCTTCCATGAAACTGGTACTGAGCTATAAAGTTCACTCTGGGAGTGATATAGAGTCAATATGATTCCAGTGGAATTTTTCTTAGAATGTACTGTATGTCATTAATCATAGTATGATATAAATATATAAATGTGGTGAGTTTTGGGGTTGTGTTTACTTTTTACTTACATGCTTATTGTTTCATAGTCAAACTGCAGAGGAATTGTTAGAGGCTACAATGTACATCACTACAGAAGCGAGAATTTTGACAGGTTTCTTTTTTCCTGGCAGTTGGTTTTGGATACACAGTGCTTACTTTTCACAGATAAAATAGGGATTTTTTTTTTCTACACAGCAGTTGGAAAAAACAAATATATCTCCTCTTTAAAAAGAAAGTCTAAATGTATTGTACTAGGTGGAGATACATAAAAAGTGTGGTGTGGGACTTGTTGATGTGAAGACATATGTCTTAATAACACTCCAGAGAAGTTAACAGAGTAGATATGTGAATCATCTTATATCTGCACGTTGATGATATCTGATACTTACATCTGATACTTTGATGGCAACTTTTAGACGTAAAATGAATTCTTTGATTTTCTGGATCAGAAGGAAATCACACAACAAAGTGACCCCAGGCATTACAGTAGTGGCTTATCAAAGTCTATTGTAATAAATAAGGAAACATCCTTGACTGTCAGGGTTACATGACTTCAATGAAAAAAAAAAAAAAAAAAGTCTGGCCTTTAGTACTTGGGTTGGTTTTTTTTAATACCAACAAGTAATCAGAAGGAATGTTTCAAATTCCAGAACTTAATTTTTAATGATAATTTCAAACTTTTGTTAATGTTTCTACTTGAACAAGTTTCTTTTATATCCTAGCCAAAAGTGAAATTCTCCCTTGAGCTGGAAGTTTAAGGTAATTTGGACTTGCAACATTTGGCTYGCTGATAAGTTTTGATGTTAGCTGTTTTAGTTAGCTAGTTTTTACAGGATTACTYTAGCATGGATGAATTCCATAGTTTTGTTTGTTTTAATAAACTTCTACTACTTTTAGTCTTCTAAATGGAGGTCTTGCTGCAAACAACAAAAGTCAATTTCAACTGCGTTTTGTAGAAGAAATGCGCAAATGCTGTCATAAAAGAAAAAAAAAAACCCAACTGTGATGGAATTAATTACAATGCAGACATGAACAAAAATATCCTCCTTGTTTAATACAGGTGAGCCAACAAAACACAAAGACATGCGCCGCAAACCCGCTGAGCGCGAAAATACAAACGCACGTACCTGGGGGAGATGGCTGCGCGCCCCGGCTGCAGCCCCGCAGTGCCACGTCTCACTGTCCCACGATCGCACCGGGACTTTATAGGGGACTCTCCCAGGGCCTGGAAATGAACTTTTGGGGCTGACACGTCGATCGTGCCATGGGGGGAGGGAGGCGACTGGAGGGGGCGGAGAGGGACTCGCCGGAGGCTCTTACGTGGCGGCAGAAATGTCAGCCCCGCGCTTCCCCGCGCACAGGGGCCGGGGTCGCTGGTGCGGGACTCGTGTTGCCGAGGCGGTTCCGAGCCGGATCGTGGGGGTCGGGGCTGGGGCACTGGGGTCTGGCTGGCCGGTGCGGCACGGCGTGTGAGGGGTGCGGACGCAGCTTGGGCGCTCCTGGGGAGCTCCCGTTCCCCTTCCGTCCCGGGGCAGTCGCTGGCGCCCGGCTCTCTTTCGCCTCCTCTGTCTGATTCCCCCCGGTTTWGGTACATTTCCCCAGCCCCGAAGCCCCGCGGAGCCCCTGCGGACCCGGCACCGGCGGAGCTGCCCCTTGCCCACCTCCTCCCCTCTCTCCCTCCTGCCGTCGCTTGCTGCAGCTCGCCAGGATTTGCTGTGTTTAGTTGWACCGGCGCTGGAGCGCCCCTGCTCWGATGTGATGGTAAAGGAGCAGCCTCAGGTCATGTTTTTTTGGAGCTGCGGTGATTAAGGAACAAAAGGAAATAAAAATAAAAACAAACCCAAACCCCAAGGACAAATATCTCAACCGGTTGCAACTTCTCCGCTGGCCCGGAGGGGGGAGCGCGGGGGAGGGCAGGGAGTAATGCGAGCTCGCCCCAGCCCGGGGCAGCGCCGGCTGCGGGACGAGGCGAGCCGCACACCGCATCGCATCGCATCGCATCGCCGGGGCCGGGCGGCCGTAGCTGCTCCGCCCCCGCGGCGGGGCGCTGGGTCCGGCGGCCGGGCGAGGCACGCAGCTGCCGCGCCGCAAACTTGGAGCGAGCGGAGCGGAGCGGAGCGCGGGCAGCTCGGCGGGGCTGCGGCCATGGCGGCGTGAGGCGGGGAGCGGGATCGGCGCGGCGCGGAGCCCCCGCCCGCCGCCCGCCTGCGGGGAGCAGCTCCAGGTAACCCTGCCGACCCCTCTCCTCTTCCCTCCCCTCCTCGCCGGGCTCGGGCTGCGGGCGGCGGCGCTTTCGGAGCGCCGCGGGCATCGCGCCTTCCCGGCCGCCCTGTCCGGCACCGGGGCCGCCTCGCTGGGCTCCGCGGAGCTGCGCCCCTGCCTCCGCCGGGCGCCCCGGGGGGCTCGGAGCCGGGCGGGCTGGGGTCCGGGCGGGCGCAGCTGCACGGTGCCGGCAGGGGGAGCCGGCGGCGAGGCGGAGCGGCGCGGCCGCGGGGGACCGGTGGCGGGGAGCGCTGCCGGCGCTCGGAGCCCTTCTCGGGCATTGCCCGGCCCCACCCCCGAAAGTCCACCGTGCCTTTCAGAACGGGCGGCCGTTCTCCCCGAATACGGTGGTGTTTGCTGGGGAGCAGCAAAAACAGACGGGCAGGCAGCCGCACCTCCGGGGGGGCTGGAAGCCGGACAGCGGGTGCTCCGCGCAGTGGGACCCCCGCACCGCCTTTGGGGTCGCGCCTGCGGGAGCACATTCTCACCCCGGAGAGTGAGGTGCGTTGCTGTCGCTGAGCCCCGGCTGCGGAGAGGCAGCCGCTGGCTCCGAAACGTTTCGGAGSGGTTTTGTCACACTTCAGCAAGTGAAGTTTGCTCAGGCTCATCTTTTGGTGAGAGCAGAAGTGGCGTGAAAGGCACGGGCAGTTGTCTGAGAAACGGAGTTTTTCAGTGCGATGTTCGCGTATGAACCCCCGATGTACTTTTATTCTCGCTGTTATTTAACTGGACTGTCTTCGGTTTGTGGTGTGGCTGTATTTCGGCACTTTCTGAATTGTGGAGTTTGAGTTTACCATTCCGCAACGATGCAGATGGAAACACCTCGGTCAGTTGTATAAATCTACCATTCTGTGAGGATTGCTTACCGGATCAATGACAACTATTAGGGTTTGTTGTATCATTCCAGATGCTGAGTGTGCATTGTAGASTGACAAGCGATAATCTGCCTGGGATTATTCCTGGGGGGCAGCTGGAGTTAGGGGGAGCTGTCAGTGCATCTGTTCCTTCAGCAGACGGGTCTATTGGCAGGAGAGGTTTGTGCATGCAGACACACGCAGCCTTGGGAAGATGGTTAGAATTTGCAAGATTGCAACTAAGAAAAATATCCTAAAACTAAAACATGTTGTTAAAGTTATAGTGATAGCATGTTCCGGCAGCCCTAAGGTAGTGCATCTGAAGATCGTATTTTCTGAAAGCTGGCTWACCACTCTTGGTTTGAATTTCGGTGTAAAAAGCTTATTTGATGCTAGCCCAGCCTGGAGTGCTGTAAAATAGATCTTTTTTTCATAGTGGAAATTGCACTCAAATCTTACTTCTAGCAGTTTGAGCATCTCCTGGCTGTTATATAAGGCTGACTCAGTTTAGTAAAGTTTGACTTATTAAGAATTGTTGAACTTGGTGATGTCATATACATGACACATACTCAATCAAAAGTCTATTGCTGCCTTGAAAAGTTGAGGTATGGCCTTGGGTACTTTGCTTAGTCTGGTGAAAGATTTTGGTAGATTTCCGGATTTTGTGCTGTGTTCCCACTTTCCAGCAGGTACTGAAAATATAACTTTATTATGTTTACTGATGAATTCGTCTCATTTTCTCATTTTAATGCTGAACAGCTGTGAGGAGTCCTGCTGAGAGCTAAGGTTTTGCTCTGGAGTGTGGCAGTTTACTTCTCTGTTCGAGAGGTTGTTTTGAATTAAGTAGTGGAAACACTTGCTTCTAAGTGGCACTGCTTATTCCTTGGGATGTTGTAACAGATTTGTTTTGGTTGGCAAAGCTGAAGGCATTAATATCTGAATTGTCTTATTTCTTTTAATCTTTAACTATGCTGTTTTCATAAAATACTCACATGTAGTAGGAGTGCCTGTGCACTTTGTAATGATCCATAAACATGGTTGTAGCAGGTTTGTTGTACTCATTTTCTGTTGGGTAAAGATGCAGAGGGTGGTAACTGTCTATTACTGCTGTTTTCAGAAGAGTTGTGTGGTCGTTTATTTTTCACTTTCATTTCACCCTGCTACTGAGGGAAACCATGTGGATTCTGATTTCTGTTGATATAGTCTTGCACAAATACAGGATTTTCAATGAATGAAGTTCATTACTTTTCAGGGAGTAACTCTACACTACAATCTATGAACTGTAGAAATACAACATAAGTCTCCTGCAAATTTTGGCTTTTGTGTTGGAGGTTGCGTGCAGGAATTCAGCCAAGGGAGCAGCTGAGCTCCTGGGGTGAGCAGGAGCAGACAGACCCGTTTCTGCCCTCTGGTCTGCAACAGCTTTATCAGCAGTGTTGGCTGGGTCTGATTTCTGTGCTGTGGGACACGTAAGTGGGTAGCTGATACTACTATCAGTTGATAGTAGGTGTGTACTAGCAGTACTATTTGTTGATAGYGGGGAGGAGGGTGTGTGAAATCTGATACTGTGCTGCTTAATCTGAAGCAGTATCTAGTAATTGGTTAATGTATTGCGGTGATAGACTTCTGAATAGCAGTGAAATATGATTTAGCTTTCGATTTAACATCTGGTTTATAAAATTTTGATATGCTCTTGATGTTTGGAAATGTATGTTCTGAAGTTACTATGGCTCCTGAGATGAGTCGGTATTGCTATTGCTGTAATTAGAGGAAGCAGCATTGAGGAGCTTCTCCTTTTCTGTAACATCATTTTATGCAAATGTTTAATGGGCATTCTTGTCAATGCAGAGTTCTCCAGATTATTGCTAATCACCCTGTTTCTCTTTATTATCATCCTTTTATCCTCTTTGGCATGTGCATACATTCCTGTTTGGAAACAGTGTTAAGTTACAGCCTGTATGTTCATTCTGTCCTAATGTGTTTTGCAAAGCTGTAGCTGAGTCAAAAGAATGAGTCGTTGGTGTTTTCAGTTTTGTTATTGTTTTGTTGTTTTGTTTTGTTATTTTGTTTTGTTCATGTCAGACACTATAAACATTTTTCAAACTGACCCTTTTGAGGTATGTTTGCCAGCTATTGGCTGGATTTAATTTCCAGGCTGCAGCACTGCAGCTGTGACCCGTGAAAGGCAGGTGGCACTCTGCTATCTGCAGTTCTCWCAGACACCTGGGGAATGCCACAGCYCGAGCTGTGCACTTCAGGTACAGTCTGCTGGTAAATCTTTGTTGCTAAAATGGCAAATTGTTCTTTTTTTTTTTTAAAGTTATTTTCCTTTGTAATATGTCTTATGATTTATTTAAGAAATTTGCCAGTTTGCGTCTAACTATTTAAGAAATTTGCCAGTTTGCATCTAACTATTTAAGAAATTTGCCAGTTTGCATCCAACTATAGCACGTTTGCTTAACATTTGTCAGGAAGGTAGCAAATGTAAACAAAGTTAATGATCCCCAAACTGCACTCTAATTAGTGTCCCCTTGAGTTTTTGTTGGAATGTATATTCCGTAGTATGAAGCATGCAAATCTTTTGTCATTTAGTGGATTTGTTCATGCATCTATTCTCAAATTTGTGTTTTCCCTTGGGTACACAGCAAGCCTGTCATCTGCWGTGTACTATCAACTCTTTATCTCCATGTATATTAATAAAATTAAATTCCATTYGGGGAGATTGATTTTGGAAGAAATTTCCTGGTGTGCCAGTATATATTGGAAAGTCAGGCAACTTCACGAAAGAGATGATGGTTGATAGTAGCAGAAAACTGGAGTTGATATGTAGTCCACATTGAGGCCTTGGCAGTGAAACTCTTGAGTTTAACTCAGCTGTTGAAACTTATCTTTTCAAATATTATCCTTTCTTTGCAAACAGTTTGAATGATTTGTTCAGAAAGTTTAAATGCCATGTAGCTGCACTATCATTTCCAGACTTATCTCCAATTAGCTTATCTGTGTTATGAAATTTCTTGCATGGTAGCCAGTGAATATAACTTTTCATTCCTTTTCGATTCTTTTTAAAAATCAGCATATATCCTTGAACTCCAGTATGCCTTAGAATTGTTGGATTTAATTTCTGACAGAACTGGTCAATCTTTTCATAGCTACCAGGCTCAGGTAATGGTGATTAGTTTAATTTAGGGGATATTGATTGAGCAGTTCTAAATCTTTGGCATGTAATATTCTGATTTTTTAATCTCTTGCTAGATGAATAGCAGCATGCATCCATTTAGCAGTATTTGTTTGGTTTAGGAGATGCCTCAGAGAAATTTTAGCTTTGAAAATGCTGAAATGGAGCCTGTTACTCTACTCTCTCTCTGTTGTACTKGGATGCGTTCTTAGGCGTCATTAATACATGTGATCACTGAATTAGGAAACATGTGATGGMTACAGGATTGACTTATAATGTGAATTGGGTGGGCTGCAGAAATGGGAGATTTTTCCACTTCTTTTCCCCACTTCTCTCCAAATTTCAGAAYTGAACTGCTTTCTTTGGTGCTGTTGTCCTTTTCTGACTTTCTAGTCTAGYTGGAAACCCAGAGTGCTATTGAAATGTGCTTTCTGGTTAGACTTAGGCCTAACTGGGAATCAGGAATGCTAAATATAGAGTTAACTACAAGGCCTCTGTAGYGAGGGAGAGAATATTTTAATAATTTTGGGCCCTGTTCTTCTGACCTCACAGTCATCTTATTGCTGAATCAGTTATTTCAGTTACTGGTGAACTCTACAGACAAAGGCATGTAAATGAGTATTTGTTTGTAGTTTTAGAAGTTATTAAGCAGTTGTTCTTCACTGTGTTTTATTAAGCATAAAGTCACTAGAGAAATTTCTGTTGTMTTTTCTTTTTACTGTCCATGCATGTTTTTTCACCATCTGTGTCATTTCAGTGACCTGCTTTCACTGGAAGCCCACTAACATTCGCATTGGCAAACTCTGCTAGTTAWGATGGGCACCCTGGAAGCATGGATGAAATGACCTTGATATGGGAGAAAATTTTTGGGATGAAACTCTTTCTGTTGACCTTGTCTGCCAGTGAAATCACTGAGTACTTGAAGGAAAACTCCTGGCCTTACCAGTTATGGGAGGATAAGTCATGTGTATTGCTTTGTGTCTCTCAAAGTCTGGTGAAGTTTTAGGGTTTTTTTTTACTAAGTCATAATCAAGATGAAGACTGTGAAAAGAGATTATCCACAGTCATTGAACTGGATATTTTGCTTAATATAAGTTCAGTTGTTGATGGCCTCTTCTTCTATATCCTTCTTGCTTTCTTATTCTGAGCTTTCATTAGGGCTATAAGGTTGTTCTCTTAGCTTTTTGTTATATAAACAATCAGTGTATATTCCAMATTTTGTCTACTCTCATGCTCCAGTGCTTGAGCATGTTTTTGCTTGCTGCTTTTTAAATCTAAGGAGTGATATTGAAATGTGTAGGGGACAGTATGTGCACAAAATTGTTSCTAGTATCTGATGTTATGTTACCCAATACTGCAAAACAGGACTAGCGGAGCCAAAAGATGGGATTTCAGCTTTGGACAGTTTTCTGACAGTGGTCTTCAAAGCATATCAGCCTGGGTTAGGTCAAGAGCCAAATGACTCTTAAGAT